GGTTTGGGGTTTAGGGTTTAGAGACTAGGGGATCTGGGCGTTTAGGGTTTCGGGTTTTGGGCTTTCAGGTGTTGCGGTGTAGTAGGAGTCCGTTCCTTTATATCCCGTTGCAACGGGACCTACTGACTCCGAGTGGTGAAAGCTTTCCACTCTGGCCGGGCCCAAGATCCTGGCATCGAGCCGGGTTTCTGCAGCACTTGCGGTTTAAAGCTTAGGCTTAAGGGTTGAGGGTTTAGAATCGGAGCCTTGCGCCCAAGCCTGAATTTTGCATTTTTTCATGCTTCCTCTGTATCCTTGCTGGATCAGCTTGGAAGATGGTCCACACGTCAATCTTCGCGCCCTTTAGCGCAACTTCCTCTCAGTTAGGAGTTCGGTGCAAGAGTCGGCTGCTATGGAACACCCGCCGGAGATCAATTACTAGGGACGGAAATCGTTTCTCTGTGGTGCTCCTGTTAAATTAAAGACCTGCACCTAGACCCTGATTACTGTACCCTGAATAATTCAGCCACAAACCCGCTTTTGTGCCGCATTCGTGAGCCGGAAAGACCAAGCGGGGCTTCTTAGACTATCGTGGTCCCTTCTGCAGAATCTTTATAACAAGGGCCCGCATTGCTACAACGAAGGGATCGCTATCATGCTAGCGAACACCCCAAACAGCGAAATCCCACGCATGAATCAGAGCGAAAGCAGAACAATGCACTTTACGTGGAGAAAGCACAATTGGAACTCCAAACACAACGGCACAGCCGCAGGAGGACGACTTCGGAAGGCAGAAATGCACCCGACTGTGCTTGCGAACACGCTTTCGAAAGAACAGACACGAGCACACAAACACGTGCGACACTGTGGCACGAATTCGAGTTTCTCCAAGTTCCAAATCGGCTAGGAACGATTCGGGGTAACATGCTACGGTAGGTTGGCTGGAGTTGGAGCAGCAGCAGACAGGACATTCGATGTTCAGTCACAGCAGCCCGCAAGCCACCACGGCTGCTTGAAGTATGAGCGCGGCTTACCTGATTGTGGGCTGAATGCTTTGTGCTTTGGGATCAGCTTTGTCTAGCTATTAGTGCCGTCAAGTACATAGGGCATCTGCCCGCTGACTTCCGCTGGTTTTCTATGCTCAGTCTTGCTACCACTACAATGTGATGATTGCAGATCGCCCAGTGATGCAGTCATCACTTGTATTTGTCTTACCACCCGCAATCCCGTAGTGATGAAGGCTGACGATGGAGAGAGCCTCTTGTCCATAGAATTGCTTAAACACCCTCAAAGCCTTCGTCCTGCCACCGTCAGCTCACGAGAGCATGTGAGCTCACGTCACCTCAAGATCTCTGTGGACTGGTGGTGATGGCTCTTTGCTTTGCTACCTGCTCTGCAAATTTTCAACCCCTTATCCTTCGCAGTGCACTCCGAGGAACTGCTCTGCTCATTTTTCAGATGAGCGAGCCTCAGGAACGAGGTAGCGCTGGAAAGAAGCTCTTGAGAAATGGGGAAGCATGACTCAGCTTTGCGGGGATTTCCCAGGCTGCAGCCTAAGGAATTCGCCAACAACAGGCGCCAGCGACTTCGCTCGTCGTATCCATCACTCAGCACGGAAAATCAGCATGGCCTGTATCGCCTTCATCATCATCCCTATCATCATCATCATTATCATCATCATCACCATCACTATGAGCATGCCAGTACTGTGCTTATTGTCACCATACATGAGCACCGTGATCGTCATCAGGGTCATGGAAGAAGTCCACGGAATTCGAAGAAGAACACTTCAGCTCTATGCTGAATTTGGCAAACAGGAACCTGGAGTTCTTGCACGTATTGGTCCTTTTTGTGGAAGCGAGGGTCCGTGCTTTTCTGTCTGGGGGAGGGAGCCTGACTTTCTGAAACTCTGGCAAAGAAACCGTGGACCCTGCTTAAACCCTACACTCACCCTAAAATCCTAAACCCCAATACCCTAACCCCAACACCCTAACCCAAAACCCCAAACCCTAGCCCGCGAATCCTAGGTCCTAAGAAGCCCCTACAACCCTAAACCCTAAACCCCTAAAGCCCTAAACCCATGAGCCAGGCCACTTCTGCGTAACCAGCCCCAGAGCTGTCAAGGCATTGGACAGCACACAGAGGAAGACGCCGAAGATCCACGAGGGCACGAGCTGAGGGTTTGGGTTTAGGGTTCAAGGTTTCTGGTTTAGGGCTTTTAGGGTTTAGGGTTAGGGTTCAGAGTTCAGGGTTTAAGGCCCCCCCAAGAGGGCACGAGCTGACGGTTTGGGTTTACAGTAAAAGCAAAAGAGTTGGAAACCCCGTAGCCTCAATCCTTAAGAGTGATGTATAGGGAATCTCAGCACTACTTGACAATAATCCGGTTTCCAACTTTATGGGGTTTACTGTAAAGGAACCCCCAAACCCTTATAGATCCCTTAAAGGGTCCCTTATAGATCCCTTTAAGGAACCCCTACTGTAGAGACCAGGGTCCCAGGGTTTCTGGTTCAGGGTTTAAGGCCCCCCCAAAACGACACGAGCTGAGCGATTCTGGGGTTTGGGAGGTCTACTAGGGCAGTTCTGAGATGTCGTGGGGTGCTACGGCTTGTGGGATTTGTAGGTTTGGGGTTTAGTTTATGGATTATGCATCTGGGGCTTGAACTTCAGGGTTTAGGGTTTGTAGGGTTTCAATCCGCTCATGGTCGCGCATATTGTTGGGCAGGAGGGGCTTAACGGCTGGAGCATGGTTTGCATCGAGGGCGATTGAGGTGTTTGGTTCGTGGCTGCCTTGTATAGGTTAAGGAAACAGGCGTGGTGGTTTATGTGGCAGATGACTATCACTCCTCTAAGCTGGAGCCTCTGAACTCCCGTCCCGAAGCTCACGAAGCCCACAAGACTCAACACTGGCATGGAATAAACTTCCTTAACCGGCTCAACACGCGGTCAAGCTTTCGGCCGTACTACGCAGACACCGTCTCCAAACTGAATGCATCAAGGCTTGAAGCTTAGGGCTTCGGGTTGATGTGAGGGGCCCATAGTGTGGAAAAGCCGTTCGTAAGGTGCAGGCGCAACGCCATCGGATTCTGCTGCTTTTCCCCCCCCCCCCCCCCCAATGCCTTGAGATTCCCCTACTCTCGTTTCAGGCCACAAACCCGAAAGCCTGCTGCTCTCCCACGTGTCCCTGCCAAGGCACGTAGCCCCATAAGGCCAGCATGGACATAGTTTAGGTTCCTGAGAGCTTATGTTGGACGTATCGCAACCGGTTCGGGTTTAGGTTGCGGGCATTTGGATTTAGGATCCCCGCATTGACTGCATTCTGCCGATGCGCACCTCGAGTTCTGGAAGTGACTCATACATCCTTCGAGTCCGAGTGGACATTTGGGCAATCAGCTTACGCCCTTGAATATGAGAACTGTAGGTGTGCGCTGTGACTAATCGTTTCTCAACCATCAAACACCCCATACATCCCCTTACCACCCGATAAAGTCGAGGACAGCATCTCGAGCCAGAAACTAACACGGGGTCCTGGAGACTTAGAATGGGGCCGTCAGGGTAATCCACGATCCTCACATGTGGTCATTACAATAGTGATCATAACGGGCCACAATTACTGATCATTCATACCTTCATATGGTAAAGCACTTAGGGGAAAACTCCTCCAAGAAACGGAGCACTGGTCACCGCATTAACAAAAGCCACAGACAGGGGTCTTGCGAGAAGACTATGGTTCTGAAAGAGTTGGGCTCTTAGTACGTATGATGTGGATCTTCGTAAGTAGAATATGGGCCTTCATACATGCCTCTCCATAAGTAGCTTGTAGGTCGGAACAAGTTGATCTAAGGGTAAAAGGGGGGGCCCCTAATAAGGACCCCTAGGTATATACCCATAATCTAGCCATTATATAGCCCATTATAGGGTAGGGGTCCCCATTAACGGTCCCTCCCCCTTTGAGTTGAATCCTGCTTGGGGGCAATATTCTTGCGCAGCTGTATCAGGAAACCCGGGAGATGCTACGACGAGCTTTTCGGACCCCTTTGCTATATTTACACTAGAAGATGCATACCGAAACACTGGTTCACCTGCATGGAGCACTGCTACTCAGAGGATCATAGGACTTAGCAAGTAAGGTTAGAAGTACCTAAACTGGAGCTATGATTAGTTATAACAGCGGTTACCCAATTTCTAACCCTAACTACTACATCCCATGATCCTCTAAGTAAGGGTCAGTAGACCCAGCCCTCGAGCCAACTGTGACACAGGCATCTCATCTGCTACCCTTCAACTTCAGGCGATATAGTGCTTACTTAGAGGACCATGGGAGTTAGTAAGTAGGTTATAATTAGGGTTATAAGTCCCCTAAGTGGGGTTATCCTAATTATAACCGACGTATAACCATACTTACTAAGTCCCATGATCCTCTAAGTAGGTCTTGGCATGGTTGTCTTATCAAGGCTGCATATAGGATGTGACGTTCCCTTTTCGAAGTTTCCAAACGATTCTGCTCCCGTTCATGGACACCTGGCATGCTGAGACGGTATCTCAAAGCCCACCCCCATGGCGCCTAGATGACTAAACTGCTTAGGCACTGTATAGGGCTTGCTGCACCTTGACAGGCTTCAAAACCCTCTCAGCTGCGACGTGTTCGGCCGAGCATCAGTCTCGGATGGCATGGACATCTTCAGTGCAGGCATTGACAGAGCAGGGGTTCCGAAGTGGAGCCGAGAGTGCGGCAGATGAAGGCCATGAAGAGATGTAGACACTTTTGCTGTGTAGAGTGTTCTGGAACAGCTGCGCCCAGGGAGTTCGACCGATGCAATGAGAGTACTACCCGATCATCAAAGTTCCGATCTCAGGGCGTGAAGCTATAGGATTTGGACCACCTCGGGTTCGCCTGAACAGGAATTGAGATCCAGGAACCCCACGAGACTTCGATCAACTTAGGGTTCTTGGGCTCAGGCTTAAGGTAGCTTGGAATCTGGAAAGTTTGTCGCTATTCAGGCTCTCCCTCCTGGCTCGGAACCCTACAGGGGCCGGCCTATCGCCCAGAAGTCGTAGACCAGGAGATTCGCCTTGGCTTCTCGTGGTGTCAATGTGTGGTCTGCGGCATCAGCTCTCGGTTAACAAGAGGGTTTCACACCTTCTTTTCTGGAGAGGCCTCGTGGTTGTTGTGAGTCTAGCAAGCTCAGAACCCAAATCCATGCACGCATCCACGGGACATCTCCGTTCGTGATCGGCGCCACGCAGTAGGTGTCGCCATCGCGGAAGCCTTAGGCCAGCAAGCGCTCAGGGGACAACATAGGGCCTTACTAACTAGAACAGGGCATTGGGGTGCAATTTTACTATAGTTATGATTGATAAGGAGCCCCCACAATAGGTAATTCTTAAGGCCCCTCTAGGACAGGGCTCGAGCATTTAGGTTTCAGGTGCTGCGAGGCTGCGCGCTGCGCGGCTAGGACTCAGGATGCTGCGAAACGTTGAAGATCGGAAGTAAGGCTGTAGTGCTGACGGGTGTGAGGAGAGAGCCTGAAGCGATTCGCAGTCGCTGTGCGTTGTTGTCCACTGTGGCGACACGATCGGCTCTAGTGTACTACTCAGGAGTAAGGTCACGCCAAGGGGCCCATGGACTTCGACGTGTCCAGGCTGGTGTCTTTGCTGAAAGTGACGAGGCCGGCCTGTCTTGGCGTGGAGGGGAGACCCTGCAAGGACCGAATGGGATCAGCCTAAGACGAGAACAAAGACCATTCATCCAGAGCCCGAGCTTCTTCAAGGGTCTCAACGCAGGGATGTCTAGAAGAGCCCTTGCAGGCGATGTGTGGCATCTGCGCCCAGCCTGAAGCAGCAAATGCGCACATTATGTCTTCAGTCTGACCACTACCTCTGGCGAATGAGTGTAACAGTGTAACACGTATATGAAGTTCACCCAAAGTAGGCCCTGACCCCAAAATCCTAAGCCCCCTGCGCCCTATGCCCCCGTAGCACCAAGCCCCGACATGGCCGACTGAGCCCTGTGCATCCATCAGCTGCTGACCCTTCGTCTCTCCCACATTGACCTCCCACGCTTGAGCTGCAGCTTAGAGCTTGGGGTTTAGAGTTGAGGGTGTCGCATAGTAATATACTCATACTAATTTAAATGCTAATATAATACTTTATTGTTGCTACAAATACTGGCAAAACCTCTAATACTGACACTGATACCAATTGGGGTTCAGGGCTTCAGGCTTTTCGCTGAAAACTGGAAGCCAGGACTCGGATCCCGGAGCCCAATGCCGGGAATTGGGATGCGGGTGGTCTACCGCGAGTCCTGAGAAGGTTACTGGGCTCTTGTTAAGGGATTATTTTAAGTTACCATGATACAGAAACCATATTACTTGCTATGGTAACTTAAAGTAAATTCCTTTGCAAGAGCCCAGGTTAGTGGTTGCAACCGCCAGTTTCTCCAACTTCGACCGCAGGGCTTGTAAAGGCGTGTACATCGCGGAACGCCTGCGGGCGCGACTTTCCGGAGGGCTCAAGCCTCCCTGAAGCTCGGCTTCCGAAGCAGACTCTGGACTGCGAACTGGGAAGGGGTGCTTAGAGGATCATGGGACTTAGAATATAAGTAGGTTCTAATTAGCGTTATATGTCCCCTTAGTGGGGTGATCCTCGTTATAACCTACTTTTTACCTTACTTACTAAGTCCCATGAGCCTTTAAGTGTGCGAAGCAACTCTCTGAACCAACGGCCAAGCGGGTCTCAGACTCCGCTGAGAGGTGTCTGTGAGTGCTGAAGGATCTTTCGGACAACCTTGAGCCGGTCTGCTCTGCCATGTTTGGGGTTTGGGGTTTATCGGGGTTTGAGGTTTAGGGGACTACGGGTTTAGGGTTTAAGGGTTTAGGATTTATAGGGGTTTAGGGGTTTAGGGATTAGGGTTTTAGGGCTTAGGGGTTTAGGGGATTAGGGTTTAGGGTTTAAGGGTTTAGGGGTTTAGGGGGTTTGGGGTTTAGGGTTTCAGGGTTTAGGGGTTTAGGGTTTTAGGATTTCAGGGGTTTAGGGTTTAGCATGGACAGTGATACGCCTTAACTACCTACAGTAGGGGCCTAAACAATTACCAATACTATCTTGCGGGCTCCTTCTTATAAGCCTACCTGTCGGGTATCATGGGGAATTAAAGGTTAACCTTTTTGGTTATATAAGGATTATATAGGAACTATACTACCTCAAAAAGGTTAAAGGTTGCCTACTCTACTACATAGTAAGTATGGTACAACGGCACCCAAAGCCCTATTCCAACTATCAAGGCCCCAATACCCCTGGGCTAGCATGACATGCACTAAGGCCATGATGAAAGGGCTAAATTCCCATAAATTTCCCGTAGACTTCACAACAAACACTCTTGAAAGGTCTCGAGATCCTAAGCCCAAAGCCCCTGCGCCTGGCTTTAGACCCGAAGCCCGTAGCCTTATGCCCCACGGCCTTAAACTCGACAGCTCGAGGCCTACCTTAAAACCCCCAAACCTCCCCTAAAACCCTTAACCCTAAGGCTTACCGCAAGACTCCAAACCCAAAACCGGTTGCTACCAATCCCTACACTCAACCCAAAGCCCTGCCCCAAAACCCCAGGAGGATCCCTGAACGGTAACGGCCTCCTTGTAAAACTTGAGCTCTGCTGCCAGAGTGTAGGACTTGCGCATGTTGTACCTCCAACGCTTCCGATCAGGATACGGCTCTGGCTTTCTGACAGGGTTTCAAGTTGAGGGGCCTGGGGGTTTAGGAGTGTAGGCAAAATTCAGAGGAACGACCTTGCAATGTACCTAAACGCCAAAGCCTCAACCCCACATGAGCCCCTAAACCCGCCAAGCCCAAAGAAGACAAAAAACACCGTAAACTCGGAAGAGAACCGAGCCTTCATTGTTGGAAGAAGGCGTCGGAGCGCATTGCAGTATGACCATACTTGCCCGTAAGCGATGATGCGTTAGGTCTTGAGGACGTCAGATCTTGAGTTTGAGGATTAGGCTTGGGTTGGAGGGTTTAGACTCTTTTGTTAAATTCGGCGCTTAGTTTATACAGGGGTTTAATTGAAGATTCCGCGTAGTCTTTCAGGCTTCCTTCGCTACTGAGCTTAGAAACCCGTTCCATAACCCTAAACACGCGACTAGGCCTGAATATCTGGCCGAGTAGTCCCATAGATCACGCTTAGGCCCCTTTGGACGTTCTGAGGTTTTGGGTTTCCGGGGTGCAGGCCCCAGCCCAGGCTCCAGGCCCAGGCCCCAGGCCCAGGCCCAGGCCCATACCCAGGCCCAGACCCCCAGGCCGGTTCAGGGTTTAGGCTTTGAGGCCAAGGGCTGGAAATCCAATTCCGATGCCCGAGTCCTCTGCCCAAAGGGCCCTGGTGGTCTCTAATGTTCGCGAGCTAACCTCGGAAAACCGTGAATGAAGCTTTGAAGCATGACAAACTCTGGGCACCTTCATAATTCGAAGAGTTGTCCAGTTTTCCGTAGGGTTCCTTGTAGCTCCTTATTTCTTCAACCGGGGTCTAAAATACCCCAAAGCTCTGGACCACCCTCAAGGCCGGGCACTCATAGTTCAGTGAGCCAAGGACACCCGCAGCCACCACCTGAGTCCAGTGAAACCCTCGTCTCGGGTTTAGGGTTTAGGGTTTCGGGTTCAGAGGTTCGTACCCCAAACCCTAAAGCCTGAACCATTGCTTGGCTTAGCATCTTTCTGTTGTCTTAGCCTGCATACCGAAGCTGGAGGATTCTACGACGAAGAAGTAGTCAGGACAAAGGCACTTAGCTTGAAGATCGTATGGATGCGCAATCGGCACCCGGGGCCGTTGAAGAGGACTCCTCCCTCACCCCTACATCTCCAGACCTTGCTCTGCTATTACATGGCGCTTCTCGCATTCCTAGACCCTGAACCAATCTTGGCTTGATTCTAGAGTTCTGCTCTTGCAAGTGTCACTGACATGTGGAAATTCTTGCCATAACTTCCAGTTTCTGTCTTCTCACCAGCACACCAGAACTTCTTAACTTGCTTAGGGGCTTTAAGCGCTTCGGGGGTTGAAGGGGTTTGGGAAACTGCTAAGTTCCTCGTGTTTTCGGGCCCTCGATCGAGCTTCCCAGCCTCTGGGCCCTTCAGAGCTTGTTTGCTGTTGTTTTAAAGCTGGGGTGGGCTCTTTTTCTCTCAGGGTCTAAGGATTTTGGGGTTAGGGCTTAGTTTAGAGATTCTTGGGATCTTGCAGGATTCTGATCTAATGTGACATGAGGTCACAATTCACGGTCAGGTGCTGTAGGCTTAAAGGTCGCACAACAACTCTGAAAGTTAAACCTTAAACTATTTAACCTGAAAAACTAAATCCTAAAATGACCCTTAACAGCCCTTGGTCCCCGATTACCGTCTCCAATTGTACGGAGCAGGAAGCTTAAGGGTTCTTACGAGTGTAAAGTTTATGGGTGGTTGTCAAAATTATCATCCCTTTTTGGGTACCCTCAATACTAGGCGCCGTAGTATAATCGGGACCCAATAAGGGACCCTATGGTATTGACAACTACCCTTATGTCTCCAAGGATAGAGGAGTTTGGGGGCGTAGAGGGCAGGGGCTGAGAGGTCCATGCTTCGGCTGCATGAAACCTGCAGTTCAGTCTTTTGCTAAACATCAACCACCTTGGGCTTTAGGGAGCTGTTGCATAGAGCTTGCCGGAAGTATCCGAAGACAACTCGACTGACCTTGTTAGGCAAAGTCAGCGGTGCCACTTCAACCACGGGTGACCGGGGGCCCAACTGAAAGCAGCATGGTGACCGCGAAGTAGTGATACCTTGTGCCACTAGAAGCACCCAACAACACCACCCTGAGCGCTCAACCCTCGACCCTGAACGCACTTTCCAAGATCGGGGAAGGGGTCGGCCGGTTCGCTGCCGATGCCGGCTCGCTGTCACATGATAGACTTTAGATTAGGTTCGTCTTGGAAGGTACCGTTGTGATTGGTGTTCTGGGTTTCCAAATACACTGTAGATCTTAGATTACAAATCCAGTTGCTCTTCTTCTTGAGTCAGGGCTCTTCGGCTTTGTGCTGCCAAGTTTTGTACGAACTTATAAAGTAACCCACGCCCAATGTTGTCGCAGCCGGGGCACCAGTACGACGAGCGCCTTGGGTTGGTCGGATTTGGGGATAGAGTCTGTCATGTTTCGTATCGTACACTACACTTCTCTACAATGACAACCACTGCTGTGGAGGATGCCACCTCAAACTTAGGACAATCGTCGTGATCAGCAGCATTTCTCTGATTTCTATATTCCTACTACTGCTTCTGGCCAAATGGGTTTCAGGCCGACAGTTCGGACACGGGATGCAGCTGGCTTTGGGACTTCGGGGCTTTAGAGGGTGCATGCAGGGCCCTCCACATGTGGAGATTGGTTTATAAACTCCAAGGGCCAAAGGAGAGACCCTTAATAAGGACCCCTAGGTATATACCCTTAATGTAGCTATTATATACCCATTCTATAGCCCATTATAGGGTAGGGGTCCCCATTAAGGGTCCCTCCTTTTCCCCTTTGATAAACCTTCCGGCCGGTGTCCATCGCGATTTGTCGACACCGGAAACCTTCAAGAACCCTGTGAACCCCAACACCGTGTAGGGTTTCGGCTAAGAGCCCTAAACCCCTAAACCCCTAAGCCTAAGCCCTGGACCCCTACACCCTAAAATTCTAAATCCTAAACCGTTTAGGCTTCAGAACCACGACCTTTGCCGGTTTCATACTATACTGAACTTAGAACCCTAGCAAAAATTGTAATTTTAGCTGTCTCTTAGGGATTATCATAACCGAAAATTAAAAATCATTTCTAAGTACCCCTAAGTGAACCCCAATCCCAATGCAGCTGCTCAGGTCCGAGCAGGCGCCGCTCACCCATTTGCCAGGCCTTCGGCTGTCGAAGCTTAACATGGGGAGGCTCATTGGTTTAGGGTTTTAGGGTTTAGGGTTTATCATAAGAGGACTGATGATGATGATGATGGTGATATTGAATAATGGCAAAAATACCAATGAATTACTAACAGTTACAATTGGAGCAGGGTTTGGGGGTATGTAGTTTAATCCAGTATACTGCACCTCTTGTCACCAACCCCAAACTGGAATCTCTGAAAACGGCCCCTTGAGATGCGGGAGTCATTCTTGGCATCTCATCCAGTAGGTGCTCGATCTCCGTCAGACCAGGGCTTGGACGGAAGAAGGATCAGGGTCCATGAAGATTGGAATTGATGGTCCTCTTTGCCTCTTGGACGACTTTGGACTCAAGGCAGAAGATCAACATCTGACCCTGCGAACAAGCACGGTTCGGCTAACCTCTGTTGGTCATCAACACTAACCGAGAAGCCGTCACAGGTAAGTCTTTGTGCTCTTGAAACCTTATACATATCTAATTTTCGGCATAGCTTGCCATTTAACTGTTGGAGGGGCGTATCTCGATGAAGGTCATGCAAAGCACTGTCCCCCCGACACACGTCCGCCAGCCAAAGACTATGTTGTCGAGCTTTTCGCCCAGACTGATTGGGTTTTAAGGATTTATGCTTACAATCTCTTGGGCTCGTGGCCATCACGCCAGATGTGACGCCAGCACCGAAGAAGACGGCAGCCAGGAGGTAGGCCTGTAGCTCCGAAAATTCTACGCACTCGCTCCAAGATTCTTGCAGCAGATAATTAGGGGGCTTAACTTTTAGAAAGGGGTTTTGGGGTCCATTACACTATAGTTACTATAATATATCAGGAACCCCCCAAAATAGTATTGGTAATTATTTAAGCTCCTAGAATAGGGCATTGATGTCGGGTGTGGGGTTCAGGAGTCAGAGTTCCCCCGATAGCAAAGTGAAGAAGTTTCCGCAAGACTCATCTCCCTGGTGCTTAGTAGGGAATGGGGGAATGGGTTATGCGGGCTATTATTGGGGATTATATAAGGACTACTATAGGGATCCATTCCCCCCATTCCCTACTAAGCACCAGGGAGTCATCAGATCGTTTGGGATCGAGACCCTGGTTCTCCAGCAAGGCCTTTGCGGTGGCATTGGCTTGGAGTTGAGAGGTCAAAGATTCAAGTCTGCGCCCGTCGCAATAGTAGAGAGCCTGGCCGCTATCCGGAAGTGAAATATCTCGAAATCGCAACTTCGCCAAGCATGCCGATCCAATTCTCTGCACAATCAGCTGCAAGTGAGTTCTCAAGAAGAATGAAATAAACTGAAGGGGAAAGCTATCGGAGAGAACGAGAGCGAGAGAGAGAGAGAGAGAGGAACAGAGGTAGCAAATGCTATCTTAGAGAAACGATCATAAGAAAAGATGCCCTCAGAAAAGCAAGAACCTGCCCAAGACGGGCCAGGTCTCCATGCGGGTCTGTGCAACTTCTCGGGTCCCTTCGTAAGGTTCTGTTAGAGTCAGCATGAGCGTTACGGTGGGTCTACGTGCCATCGTGAATACCTTGGCCCGGCAAGCATAATCCTGGCATAATCATAGCATGGCATAGTGATACTTAAACTTAAACCTTTCCACCCTAAGCCCCAAACCCCAAATCCCTAAACCCGAAACCGTCTCCGCACAGCGTGATGGAAGCTCAGCTCGAAGCGAGACCCGGCTGGTCGAAGCGAAGATGAAAAGACAGTGCCTTTTTCGTTGCTCGGGTCTGAAAAGGCTTGTGGGGCAGGTGCATTATAGTATCATGCTCGGGCGTGATATGGGCTTTCGGATTATAGGAACGCTGGTGACTAGTGCTCAGGAAGGCTGCGCTCCTAATCTCTGACCCTGCGCCCTGCAAAGTCTGCAGCCTCACTGCTTCTCGAGCTCCGAAAGCCATGGACTGCAAGATTGGTAAAGCTGAGAAGCCTGCAAGGCTCCCTACACCGCAAGCGGATCCTTCAGATAGAAGCCCGAATCCTAAACGCCGTAGACCGGAAACCCCAAACTCCAAGCCAAAAGCCTCACACCCCGAAACTTAGTTTCCCCTCTCTCCACAGAACGAACAAACGACTTCAAACCCTAAACCCTAAAGCTTCCCCAAACTTCCAAGGCTTTGCTGCCAAAGCTCCCAGAAGACCAGTCCAAAGGCGGCCCAGGGCCTCAACTTCCGGATTCTAGATTAATGGGGCCTACAACCCTGCACCTATAACACTCCAAGAGCTGATGCAGAATTTTTCTGGGTTCAGAATTTTTGCTCGGGGGTTGGGGTGGGATGTAGGGTCTTTTGGGGTTGAAGAGCTGATTCATGATGGTGCTATGGTGCTTTATTCTATGTTCATTATAGCTGCTGTCGTTGCCGCTATGAGTGCTGTCGCCACGTAGAAATGCTTGGCTTCTTCTACTTGCTATCATGAAGTCATCCTGGGCTCGAGATTTAGGATCTCAGAGTTTAGGGTGAGCGCTGCTACTGTTACTACTGTTATTGCTGTTACCAATACTTAATTTGTGATGCTCTTGCTATTGAATCAAGAGCAGCAAGTTTTGAAATTATTTTTCGGGGTAGGGGCTCTCTGAAGTATGCGGTACGGTATTGCCGGAATGAGGATGGTATATAGGGCTAGGCGGTCTTGGGTCTTCAGCCGGCGTGGTGTAATAAAGGGGCCCGAGTGATTAGAGTAGGGTTTTGGGGCATATCATACTATTATACTTATTATAATCAGGAGCCCCCAAAATAATATAGGTAATTACTATTCATTATAAGTATAATAATAAGGAATCCCCCCCCAAAAAAAATCATGTAGGTAATATTATTTAGGCCGTTTATAGGAGCTCTTAGGAGCCTTGTCGGACTTGGGCTTCGGAAGGCCCTATACCGAGCCCTAGAGCAAGAAGCTTCAAGTGCCGACAGCAAGCCTTTAAAGGTTGTGTTAATGCCCTAAACCCCTACCCCCCTAAACCCTATAGGGGTTATTCAGCTGTAGGGCGAATGGCCACAGCAGAAGTAGCACCAATGCGGCGGCCTAAACCCAGCTAAAGCCAAGCAAACGCAATTCCCTCAGAACCTTGAGCCCAAAGACTTCCCAGCTTCCCACACCGGAGCCCACCCCCGGAAACCCCCCCAAACTTCTACCAAATACCCACCATCCCAAGTCCCTAAACCCCAAGTGTTGCTAACTACCCGCCATGGCTGCAAGCCCTCGGGCGCCGGCAAAGCCATGTTCACGAAGACAGTTGTCAAGCTTGTCGGCCTCCTGGCTCTAATCTCGCAAGAAGGGTCGTCCCTCTTTAAGGCTTCCCACAAGCATCCCTTTGAAAGGCTCCTGTAGCTTCCTGTAGAGGTACCTATAGATTCCTTTCAAGGTTCCTTTAAGGCTTCCTACAAGGACCCTCTTGAGGATTCCTCTAACGGCTCTTATACCGAAACGGTTCCAGAAAGGGCTCCGCCGAAGGTTCCTAGACGGGATCCGACAAAGCATTCTCCAGGGCTTTAAAGGGTCTAAGTACCAGTGCAGAGATATCTTGAGTACTTATACCATGTTGGTGCTTAGACCCTTTGGGTGAACACTTCAAGTAACATAGGGGCTTCCATGATTTCAATAGGGTGTAATATGGTATACTTATGGTAGTCGGAGAAACAGGAGCAGTGATGATGCACACTTCTATACCCTGGACATACATACTTCGGTTCAGGCTCCTCAAACGCATCCCCGTTGGAGCTGAAGTCAAACTCGCCGTCCTCCCTAAATCCGAAGCCGCAGGGTAACTTACTCTTGTGGCCGCAATAGTTGGAAAGGCTTCGGGGTCTGTTTTACTATGGCGATCTCTTCGGAAACCTTAAGTTGTGGTGTTGCTGATAATCAGGGCCCTGTATCATACTCAGTCGGTTGTTTTTAGGTACATGTCCCTGCCACTTGATCTCCCCAGAAGGATGCATTCATGCCCTCAGTCCTGTACGCTGTTCTAAGCTCTGAACCCTAAACCACAAACATGCAGGTACTAATCTGGGTAGGCTGTCTCCTCTTCGCTGCACTGCCGAGGGGATCCTGGCAAGTTGCAGTTAGGTTTGGGGGCATTCGGCTTTGGCCCTTAGAGTTTCAGGGTGCCAGGTGCCAAGGTCTACTAAGACAGAACCGGACACGCTTTGACGCTGTTTAAGCTGCCCACCCCAAACTCTAAACCGAAATGTTGAAGGCTCCAATTCATGGCTCAAGCAAGACTCAAGAGTCCACGGTGGAGAGGATCAATTGGGGCTGCGATTTAAGAATTTCAATTTTTTAGGGGCCCCGATGAGTTGACCCAAGATGGCAGGACCCTTCTTGCACACCCCCCCCCCCAATCACAGTTGTTGCGGGTGCAAAACCATACTAAACCCTAAACCTAAACCCTAAACCTCTAAACCCTAAACCCTAAACATCTAAACCCTAAACCCTAAAACCCTAAACCAAGTTACCAGCCCATGGCCGCCAGAACTGTGGGTTTTCCGGGTATGCACTGCCTCGCAAGCCAGCACCCCAAAGGGGTTCAGAAGCTTTCAGGCTGTACGATGACCGCCGCTGTTTCAAACTGCTGATGTTGATTCCCTTTTTGCCTTCTGTACTATAGTATGCAGTAGCCCCAAACCGTATTTCACACGTTTGGACGACTCGTCAGCAGAGGTGCTGACCATGGTTGTAGGGACTGCTGTTCATTCTCTTTTGAATCACCGTTCAGCACTGGGGTTGGGGTGCAGCAGCGGTATATCAACCTAAGGACGGTACTGAGTGGGCACCTAAACCCAGCGTAACACTCAACTGAGAGCCACTATCGATTGCGCTGTGCATTCTGCGGCAACCAACTTGACCACCGCCGGCCTCAGCCGAAACCCCAAATCTTCCAAGAAGCCTTCCAAATCCCAATGCCCCAAACCCCGGTCCCAAACCCCAAAGCTGAAACCGCTAAACCCTAAACCACCAGTGCTTGGTTAAGCTGAGACATCCTTGTGGGCTCCCATGCTGCCATAGACATCTTGCCTGCAGTAGCCAGCTTCTTCGCTTGTGCTTCTTGCTGATGCAGCATGTTCTTGTGCTGTTGCGGCTGGTTTTTGCTGTTGCTGCCGTTGAAAGCGCAGCAGAAGAGTTGTGCCGTTGCGGCTGTTGCTGCCGAGGCCGCCGTTGCCGGTGACTGCTGCCACTGTTATGTTCCATGCTGCCAGTGGGGATTGAGTTCTTGCTTGAGACAGTACCGCAAGCTATTGTCGTCATTTGTATGATCATCGCCATCATCGTCGTCGTGGTCTGCACAGTCAGCGTCAACACGGCCAGTAACATTGATTTGCTACCAGCATGGGCCGTGCTTGTACTGGCTTCCAAGCACTAAGTATTATAGGCTGGGCTTCAGCATCTTTCGCCTACGCTGATTTTGTGAATTGTGCTACTAGCTTCAGCATGTCGTGTCATTACTTGCATAAGACTGTCACGAAAAGTCTTGTTGTTCTGGTGCCTCTGTACAATTCGGGGCACTTGTGCTGTGATTTAATTACTTCTTGTTGGTGATGCTGTTTCTTGTGAAGGAGCATGCTCTAAACAATGAACAAGGAGTTCTCAAGTCAGAACCCGTGCGATGCAACATGACACTAGGAGCAAGCTGGGAGCATTCTACGTTTAGCCCTGAAAAGCACGCCCTCTGAATGGGTTCCTCCTCCTAAACCCTACTTCTCGCCCAAGCTGCCTCGCAAAAGGGGGCAACATGACCCAAATAACCAGAGGTGGCTTTTGCCTCCCCTGGAGGGTCGCTTCGTTTCTTGCTTCTGCGGAGCTCGAGCCGAATATAACGCAGCAGAGTAAAGGGAGAATTAGCAGAGACTGCTGGCAAGACAAATGTTTGGGTCACTCTGCACGCGTCTGCGGGCAGAGAAACTTCATTTACTTGCAAGTTGCGGACTTGAACTTATAATTGACCAGGTGTCAGACTTCTGGATGTGAACGAAGACCAGGGACTGTAAGGTGATAAATCGCTCCCAACTTCTGCGAGTTAACTATTCCTGGTACTGCTGCTATGGGCTGCGAGAAAGCTTCCCTGGGCCTTCATCTAGGTGCTCAGCTCCACCAAATTCAGAACAGCCCCCCAAATCAATTGTTCGCAGTTAACCTGCCATTCCGGAAACGCCTTCATAATTATTATACTCGAGTTTTGAAAACCCTACAACACCCCAATGCGTACATCCCATACAAATTTTATCGGTTTAGTCGGTCCCTTCGGCGTCATGTTCTTGCTCTCGGACACGTTTTCGGGTTTGTTTACGGGTTTTTGGAAGGATGGGAATAGTGGTTTAGGCGTTTAAGATGCAAAGGCCAAGAATGCGCGTGCTATTGTAGTGTTCAGATGGAGTAGAGTTCAGCTCGCTGGAACCGTCTCAACCTCATGTTTTGCTCGCTATTCTGCTATTGACCCACCCGATACCCTACGTATACCCCTTCTTTGCAGAGAGGGTGGGGCCAAGGGTTCGGTGTTCCGGAGAGTCGGGCCTTGGGCCTTAAGGAGCTTGTTTGGGCTTCGGATCACGATGACGGTTTAGGGTTTAGGGTTTCATGGCGCCCCTGCCATTACCTTATCGTTCTTGCTGCCCTCTTCTTGTCAAGGTGATTCGACGTAAAGGCCGTTCTTCATCCCAACCCTAAACCCCACACCCCCAGATTCCCAAAACCTCAAGCCCTGAACGCCCAAACCCTTAACCCCTAGCCTCCACACCCGCACTTCTAAACCCCCAAACCGCCCAGTGTCGATGCTCTGCATTTCTTTGGGGAGGCTGGGGTAGCTGACGGTTGGGGATGGGAGCTGCCTAGACAGTCCTGAGCCACGAAGACCGGGCCGTCTCTGTTGGGTTTTCAACGGTTTAAAGCTTAAGGGTCTCTAAATTTCAAGGCCTTAGTGCTTAGCTAGGAGTTTAGTTGGGGATGCGAGGGAAAGAAGGTGAAACAGGAATTGAAAAGCCACTATCCACCCGCAAGCTCAGTACTTCAGGCCGGTGTGTCCACCTTTGTACCTCAGACTCCCAACTGCAGAGAAGAAGTGCTTTCTGTGCGGCCGTCGCTGCTGGCTTCTCAAGTCGTGGCGAACTAACAAGGCGGCGAGCTGGGTGGCAATGCTGGTACCTTAAATCCTATAAACCCCAAACCCCAATACATAATCCCAGCCCAATTTCTCCCAGTTTCGGAACCTATGATGTATACGCCAGGCTGCTTCATCTGCTGTGGAGTTGGTCCTTTCACCTGGCAGAACTCAGACCAACTTTGTGGTTCATGGGTTCAGAATGCTCTGGCCCGCACTCCGGGCCGCTCATGCAAGCCATGTAACTAATTGACAAGGGCCGTAAACTCAAAATTGAATTATGGAAAATTTATTCTGATCACGAGCAAGGGACTATGAGGGAATATCAGTCCTAATTGTTCCGATCCCCGAACTACATGGACTACGGCTTCATTGGCGTCACGAACCTGCTGCCCTGGTTACTTGCCGCTTGTCTTGTCAAGACTGCCATACTTGATTGCGTGATTCACAGGTGGGATCGGCAGTTGTTAATGTGGTCGAGATACGCACGGAACATTGGACTAGGCTGGATGCAAGGATCATCCCCCGGGGCCTTGAGAATGAGGGGTGTGCCGCCTCCACCCCGCACAGGCAAGATGCCGTCCACTGGGTCTCGCCTGAGCTTGCAGTCACATCTGTTGCATAAGTCCTATGGGCCTCGGGAGTGTAGCAATAAAACAGAGAGAGTGACTCCAGAAGACCGAGCTTTAATATCTGCGCGATGATGAGCAAGCTTGAGCGAATACATGTGCTCGCGATACGACACCGTCAGCATCACTATTGATGTTTGTTCTTCTCCCACTGTCACTGTATACCCAAGGTTTCAAGGGCCAACAGATCCACTTGCAACAAATTCCAACAGCTTGGAAGCCTGATATCACATCAGCACGACTTTAGCTCCGGTTTTGCGTTTGCTCTTCTTCTCGAGATATTTTGACTTCGCTATATAAGTAGTGTAATTGCTGCGCTGTGCTATTTTGATCTGCGAGATGGGAGGCCGCTTCGCAACGGCCAGCAGCTTCGCGCCTTCGAACCCATACTTCCTCGGAGCTTCAGTTCAGTAGTTCAAGTCTATGAGACCATGAGCTGAGGAGTGTAAGTGAGAGTCATGGCTTGCGTGGGGTCTCATCTTGGAGCGATTAAGGGCTCTGTTGGGCCAGAAGTCGAGAGAGCGCGGCACGCTATCTCTCTTTCGGCCGTCCTGGTGGCTAGTCTGCCAACTGCCCTTACTCACACGGTTCAGATTGCAAGCATCAGAAGTTAACCTTTTATAAGGGCTCAGGACCATGGCTATGTCACCGACGAGTTCACGAAATTGAACAGGAGGCTTCGGATCTCTGATCTCCAGACCCGGTCAAAGGGCTGGTATGTTGGCAGCTTCAGGCATTAGCAGTGCATCCACGAGAAGCACTACAAGAATCCAATGCAGCCTTAGAACGACCTGATAATAGCTACGTACCGAAGGGAAGATAAGTCACCTAGCCGGGACTCTGACGGAGCCCTACATCCGAGGTCCTAAACCTTAATCGTCTAAGGTTTCGCATCCCGTGAACCACTTCAGGCAGCAAGACTTTCGCCCTGTGCCGCGAACCTTCCATCTCTATCATTGTTGTGTTTACCATGTTGCTGTGGCTGCGCTGGCATTAGTTGCGGCTGTGATGTTCTGAGCATTGTCACAGAAGCTGGACATCCTAAACCCTGAACCCCCGATCTGTCATCCCATCACGGCTTGGTCGAAAGACTGCGCCTTTAGGCCAAGGAGCGTCGCGGAGTAGCAACGTGAGTGGGGTCGGCCATCCCGCCAGAAAAAGCAAACCTGTAGCCCGAGAGCGGTTTAAGGCTTCAATGTTTCGGGCGCTGGAAGTTTGAACGAGAGCATGGTGCCAGGAGAGATATAGGGGCCTAATTAATTACCTATAATAATGTGGCGCCTCCTTATTATAGTTTTAATTTAATAAGCCCCAAGACCCTATTCTAATTATTAAGGCCCCTATAGTATTCCGGATCGTCGGCCTTGGAGGTGTGTTTTAGTCAAGCCATGGATGCACATGCCTTTTGCGAGCACAGCCTGTCCACTGCTGTAGCAGCTATCGACCAATAATGCACAATCTCCAGAACTCACTACCCCTAAACCCAAAACCCTAAACTTCCCTAAGTTAACCTTCATAAATTCCTCAACCCCACATCTAAGCCCAGGGCCCAGCATTGCAAGCGCTGGTCGAAGAATACCTGAAGCTCACATGGCTCTGTAACCGCAGCGGCAGTCGTAAGTGTCGTCGTCGGAGGAGTGAAGAGAAGTTTTACAACTGTATGGGTCGCTGTCAATATTAGGGTCCCTCTTTGGGTCCTTATTATAATACGGCACCAAATATAAAAGAACCCTAATTTTGACGACCGCCCATATGGCACTCTCAACAACACTGGCAGTACCGGATCACGACATCCCAGGTCTCGGATCACGGAGCAGTTGCTTCAGACGAGGAGGCTTTTGGCTTCAGGCAGGGAAGATCCCGGAAAAAAAAGATGCCGCCCCAGCACAAGTGGCGAAACCAAGGTGAAATGTCACATGGGTGGTTGTCAAAATTATGGCCCGTTTTGGGGTACCCTAAATAATTATTAGGTGCCGTATTATAATAAGGACCCAAAAAGGGAGAACAGCTTCCAGAGAGAGGCGACCAGGATTTCCTGCCAAGGAGCCCCCTCTTCGGGCGACGGGAAAGAGGGCTTCTCACCTGGCAACGTGAACAGCTTAGCGTTTAGGGTTTTGGGGTTAGGGTTTGTAGGGTTTTGGGTTTAGGGTTGTTCAAACCCTGACAAAAACTGACAAAGGGGCTGAACGATTTCGCAGTTAAAGGGTGGAGGTTAACGCTTAGGCATCAAGTTTTAGCCCAAAGCTTACCATGAAGTTCATAAACCCCAGAGCCCACACAGAATTCTACCCAAATGAATCGTGGCAGTTTATTGCTCACCGAAGAATCTCAGGGCCTACTTGACGGGCCCTGTTGGGATCTAGGATAAAAGTCTCCAGAGCTCCGGGCTTGCATAGGGTGGGAGCAGCCGAAGTCTTCCATGACTCCGCCCTAAATAAACCTCGAAGATCATCCTTAAACCGTAAACCCAAATCCTTAAACATCATCCCTAAACCCTAAACCCTAAACATTATCCCCAAACCTGTTACTGGAAGCACCTATTCTGCCGGCTTCAGTCATCTCCGCATAGAACTGGAAAGCCTGTCAGGCGGGCATGTTCCCTTTTAGGGGGTTCTGGGCGGTAGACACCTGATAGGTTTTGGGGCTACCTCCCCAAACCCAAACTTTGGGGAATAAGTCACCTCGTTCAGCGTTTATAGTGCAGGCCGAAATCCCGAATCCCAGTGACCAGAAAAACGCCTCCGTGTTGGGAATTTCGCAGTCTTGCCAAAACCCCCAACCCTAAACCCCACCAGCTCCTGGAAACTTCGTTAACATAACATCCGAATTGAGCGGTGTAGGGTGCGGGGTTTAGGGTTTTAGGTTCGGGGATATGGGCTCACAGCTCACTGCGGAAGCCGGGTCTCGGGTTGTCTAAAGTGTCAGCGACCGCTCACCCACAAAGGCCCCGAGCAACTCTCGTCGAAATCCCACATACTACGCCAGCGAGCCCGCTTTCTCCTTCAATCAAACCGATGATTATCATTGTGGCCATGATCATTGAAACCTCGTTTATAAGCAAGAAGAAAAGGGATTGCAGAGATTAACCAAAGAGCTCATGGTCCTGACTGGTGTCCTACATCCCTCAAGCTCCTTCAAGTAACGAGGCGTGGATACATTCAGCGAAGACTGAACCCAACTGCCCGTCACCAAGTCACACGGGTGGTTGTTAAATTAGGGACCCTTTTTGGATCCTTAGCATAATACGGCATCTAATATTTGGGGTACCCAAAAAGGGACCCTAATTTTGACAACCACCCGACACGGTGAAATACTGGGAACCCTAAACCCCAAACCTATAAGTTGCTGCCGACCGAACCGCCCCGAAATTCCAAAGCAGTTGATTTAGGCAGAAGGCCCTAGACCCAACACACCCCTAAATCCTAGGCCCCATAAGCATTTACAGCTCTAATCCCTATATATATATATATATATATATATATATATATAAATAAATAAATAAACAAATAATACTTAACCCCTATAAACTCTAAACCCTGAGCCTTAAACTCGAAACTCTTGAGGGCAATTGTTGAACAATAGATAGAAATAGAAATATATGAAATATATATATATATATATGTATAATATATATATATATATGTATATATTTATATAAATGTATATAACCCATAACTCCAACAACACGTATCCGTTGCAATAGTAACTGCACCCTGGGCCTCTTTCTTAGACCTCTCGAGTCCGAACTTCTTCACCTTGGATGTCAGGAGGGTTAGTTTTTTTTTTGAGCGCCTTTTTCCGCCTTAGGGGTTTAGGGTTAAGGGGTTTTCTGTTTTTCCGGGGTTGAAGGGTTTTGGGTTTAGGGTTTCTATGTTTTTCAGGGGTTGAGGGGTTTAGGGTTTACAGTAGGGTTTTTCCTGTTTTCCATGGGTTGAGGGGTGGGGGTTTAGGGTTAGAAATTGTTCATGGGTTGAGGGGTTTACAGTAAACCCATAAAGTTGGAAGCCGGACTAAGGCCAAACAGTGCTGGGACTCCCTATACATTACTCTTAAGGATTGAGGCTATTGGGTTTCCAACTTTTGGGCTTCTACTGTAGGGGCTTCGATTTCATCGGCCAGGAGCGGTGTGGAACGGCGAACTATTCATCGACTCCTGAATTCCAGGAGGGGGCCGGCAATTAGAACGGGGCTCCTGTAAAAGGCCTCTTAAAGGCTTTCTTTCGGGGTTAAGGGGTGGAGTATAGGGGCCTTCAGACTGAAGAATAAGACTTGGGCGTCCATTGCAGTTTGCTGAGATTTAATAAATGCATATTGGTCATGATTCAGGCTCCTTCTTCTGAAGCCCCCACCGTCCAGGAGATCTGCCCGCCAAAAATAAAAACAACCCGGACACATGCGGGCTGTGTGCTTCTAAATTTCTGCCGGAGGGGCCGGAAAAGGCCTGGCATTTAGCTTCGAATTCTCCTGAGCTGAACGAGTTTAGTCGGGGTTTCCGGTTTAGGATTCAAGCACGGGCAAAAGATCATATCGTGGACAGCAATGCTTCTGCCACACGCACCTCAACAGGCGACGAACTCTGACTCTAAATGCCATAGATCCTAGCTCGCAGCTGTCTCGATAACACCGATGAAGCCGGTGATGCCTGGCTGCTAGAAGGCTCCATCTGCAGGTCCTACATCACCTACACTTACGAGTTAAGATAAGCATCATACCAGTAGACTTCCCAGCCCTCGCGCGTCTCGTTCCAGACCTCAAAGGGGCACGAGACAAGTTGGAGTGGTTCCTTCGGAGGGTACCTTTGTGCTTTCAGGTTTAGGCGCCGGAGATTGAAGCTTTCCTGTGGAAATCCCAGAAAGTGAAACGTGTTGGGGTGGATCTCAGATTCCGGAACGGTAGTAAAAGCCGCGCTATGTATGTTGCCGCTTGAACTTATTGAGGACTTCCCAAGGTAACCACATCTACAAATAGGATGTAGGCACATGGAGCGATACTGGTTACATGATAGAACATCTGAGCGACACACGGAACAAGCTCCAAATAAAAGCCGTGCATCCGCACGGAGAAATGAAGCCATGTCACTCGGAGTCGACTAGCCTTG